ATTTCATTGGAGTTTTGAAGTCTGTGTTTATTTAATCTCTATACACCTAGATTCATAGGTAGTTGGATAACATTTTTCAAGATCACACTTTCCTGGATAAGTTTCTTTTCTTCTTTTGATTAATAGTTGACTATAATTTCTAGCCTCTGTTTTTGGCTTTTTCTCTCAATCTTTATTCTTTTACAAATATAGCATATATTTTGATTATTGTAGCATGTGGCAAGTACAAAAGTAATATTATGTCAACCTGTGCACTAAGTTTTCATAATCACATTAAAAATTATGGTTTTTCCACTGTCAATGTAGCTTTTTATTGTATTTAATATTTTCTGAATGTAGCTTTGTAATCCGCATTTTGTTATAAATTGTGGAGCATTATCATTTTATGCTGCAAATTTTCCATATTTATGATGCATCATATAACCAATGATCACACAGGTACTTTTTTCATTCAAGTTTTGTTACTAATCTGTGAAAGGGTTATCAAATAACATGTATTTTGGATCTTGGCAGATGGCCTCAGCACATCTACTTTTTGGAATGATCAGACCTCATATACCAACACACAAGCAGCTAATAATTATTTGCATTCCATATGCCCTATACATACAGGAAGCATTCTCTCATGTACAAACATATGGAAAATATAGCAATAAACTTGGTAAATTGGTAAATCCTTACACCATCAATTCTGTTACCATCAATTCTACTCTTCTACAGCACAGTTTAGCTATGGCACCCTACTCTACACTGGAGATTGTAGCACTAATTCTAATTGGTCTTAGTTAGATCCACCTGCCTCTGATTTCCAAGTGTTGAGATTAAAGTTATGATCCACCATGGCCTGGCCCCTATGGCTAAATACTGCCTGTCTCCACTCTGGTCTTCAGGCAAGATTTTTTGTTTGTTTATTTTTGTTTGGTTTTATTTTAGTTGGCTGTGGAGTGATCAGCCCGCTGCCTCTAATAGTGCCAAGGTTTTCTTTATTGAGATACACCAATCAAGCCAGAGGGAGGGAGCTGGAACCAGCGCAGGTAGCTGGGGGAGCAGAAGAGAGAGCCGGGTTCTCCATGTGCAGCCCTTAAGAACCTTCCCTTAAGTCACACCGACTTCCCTTCATCCAGCCCTCATGGGCGAGTCCCCGGTATACCTGGCACCTGTCTGGGTTGATTGGGGCAGGGCTAGGGTGTCTCCCTACAGTTGCCTTTTTGTTTGCTTTTGTTTTTGAGACAGGGTTTCTCTGTGTAGCTTTGGGGCCTGAACTGGAATTCTATAGAAGTCACAGAGATCCACTGACTCTGCCTCTCATGTGCTGGGATTAAAGGCTTGTGCCAACACCACCTGGAAAGATTCATTGGTTAAAGCACATCCAAGATAGCACCACACTTGGGGAAACCATTTACAGGATCCACAGAATTAATGCCATATGGGTCCTACTGAGGTGATGGGGTTCTTCCTTCAGCAATACATGATCAGAGTGCTTTAACTTTCTGCTACCACCAGCTACAATGTTGTGATTTGGGGAAGTTGAGTTCCAGGCAACAAAAGGAATTTCTCATCTGCAGCAGTTTCTCAGGTGTGCATGGTGTTGTGTAGACAGATAGGGCAGATTCCCCATGTGGTGTCAATGTACATGTGGCAGGAAGTAGACATTCAATTATTCTTCTATGTTATTTTCTTTGTGGGCATCAATGGGGCTGGATTTTCCTCAAACCTCAAGGGTATTGAGGAAAAAAGAGTTTTTAGAAAAATAGCAAGATATTGCCCCCATTTGTAGATGGAGTTCTAGACTATGGGGCCTCCCTGGAAGAAATATTGATAGCTTGAGCGTCAGAAGCAGAACAGATTAAGGGTTTTTTGATTTAATTTTGTGGGATTTGTGCAGTGTGTTTAGTTAATTTTTAAACACATAGAATCATGGGTATCTGGGTAACATTGTCAAGATCTCAGATTACCTCCTTGAGTTCCCTTTGGAATTTTGATGAAAAGTTGATTACATTTTCCTGCCTTTGTTCTTGGCGTTTCCTCTCCATCCACCTTATGCTTTTCCAAATATTGTATACCTTCTCCATTGCTGTAGATTTATTGTGAGTTTAGAAATCATTCTTTGTCAATAAGTATAGTAATTTTTGAAATCCTCTTGAGAATTCTGAGTGTTTCCAATTTGCATATTTTTTGGAATCAGATATACTGTTATGAGGTATTGGGAATTTGTTTGGATTTAATTCAATTCATGTTAAAATTTTACCGTATATGGAGGCAGGTGTTGGTATTGCACACCTTTAATCCCAGCACTTGGAGGCAGATGCAGGAGGATCTCTGTGATGTGAGACCAGCCTGTTCTACAAAAGCTAGTTCCTGGATACCTTTCAAAGCCACAGAGAATCCCTGTCTCAAAAAAACAAACAAACAAAAATACCTGATATGGCATCTTAATACTGGTGCATCAAGTTCCCCATGATTATGTACTTTTCTATTCATGTAAGCTCTTTTATTCTTGTTGTTTTTAATCTCTAAAAGTCTTTATTGTTTCACCTAAAAAGTGCTACATGGATTGGCAGGTGCCTCAGCACATATTCTTCTTGGGGTTGACCTTATTTCAGATCCCAACACCCAAATTTTGAGATCAGAACACATGATATTGGATATGCAATTAGGGAGCTCGTACTTGCCTAAGGTTAATTCTCCCAACTGTAGGAGAATAACACTCTTTAATGAGCAATGAGAGTCTGGACACAAAGTGATCTGGACTGCCTTAGTCAGGAAACATTATCAAGAATAGAAAACATTATCAAGAATAGAGAAAAATGGGGTGGAAAATACCTGACTATCAATTGCTGGTGCCGTAGCCCTGAAGTACTGGGACTTCAAGCAAATTTACTGATTCTGTCCTGAACCAGTCACAGTCTCCATTTGTTCTGCACCCCCCCAACCCAACATGTACCATTTACATCTTGGATGACTATGAAATCCTGACGTTTGGGCTGGAGAGATGGCTCAGAGGTTAAGAGCAACTGGCTGCTCTTCCAGAGGTCCTGAGTTCAATTCCCAGCAACCACATGGTGGTTCACACCATCCGTTATGAGATCTGGTGCCCTCTTCTGGTGTGCAGATATACATGGAAGCAGAAGGTTGTATACATAATAAATAAAAAATAAAATCTTCAACAAAAATATTTATATTTTAAAAAAAAGAAATTGTGAAATTCCTGCCTACACTTTCTGAGGACCACGATTACAGGCCTCTGCCACCCTGCCTGGCTTAGGTGGCTTCCACTTCTCTTAGTGAGGCATTAGAATGATGGGATGAGGAACATGAAGAGTTGCCCTTAACTATCTTCAAAATCTGCTCATCTCTGTGAACCGGGGTTTCACCATCTGCAGAATAAGCCAGAATCCTTCCCAGGTTCTTGGATGAGGTATAATAGACTCAATGATAAGGAGAAACAATATTTCTCATAGTTGGAAGACAGTGGACTCTAAGGCTTATCAAGATGTCACCAGAACCACATTGTCCTTCACACCATGCTCCCCTTTCTGATGACATTGACTGAACCTGCAAATCTATAAGTGAGCTCCACAAATTAAGTGTTTTCTTATCAGTGTTGTGGGGGTCATGGTGTTCATTCATAGCACTATTAGTCCAAACTAATACAGCTAGATTCAGGATCTTCTTCTTTAAGTTACCAGGATGTATTCATTCATGTCATGTGAATGAAGAAAGACCAAATTTGTGGGTTCAAATATTGAGCTCAGGTGTGCCCCTAGGCTATGTAGTTGAGAATTGCTTTGAACACAGCTAATTCTGCTGCTGCTACCCAGTGCTGGGAAGACACTGCTGCAATTCCTACAAGGCAGGGTGTTGACTTGTCATTTAGAAGGACATATAGACCATTTAATGAATGTTGACCAATCCTTCTGAATTGTAGCCGGGACTGCAAATGAAGAGAGATATATGAAAAAAATTAAGTTCATTTACCAACTTTGAAGGTGGTATAGGCACAGTGCAGGAAGGGATGTGAGAAGAAAGGAACATGAGCAAATTCTTGCTCATCAGCTGTGAAACTTAGCTGGATGGAGTCTTGTGATCAATTTCAGATGATTGATAAAAATGCCTGACTGTCAATATGTTGGGGACCCACAGTCAAGGGCAATCAATGATCTGGATAAAGGACTGATGTTTTCATGAAACAAAATTGCTGTAGTTATACTATTTCAAGCAGAATAGAAAATCTGCATAAGATGGCATGACCCTGAGAGAATTGGAAACA